GACATGTGCTTCGGCTGTGATGACATCAGATCGCCCAAATTTTTATAGTGCGTGACAGTAACAAGCTCGGTGTAATCATGAATGTTTTAATTAAACAAATTTATAAAACAAAACAAAAAAACAAATAAGAAACTCTCATGGTATATTTTAGAGTCAAATCTAAATAAACCTAACAAATTATATTTTATTCTCTACAAATTTCCTCCGTAATTAAATTAGCAACATGTTTTGAAAAGCGTCTTGAGCTTAAAGAATGAATGAGGTGCATTTGAAATTTACACCGACGAATCTAACGAATTTGAATTAGACGTCTACTGAAAAGAGTAACCAGTAGAAACTAGCTTTGTTGAGTTCCCTCTTTATTGCAGGTTGATTCCAAATGGGTTTTAAGGATTAAAAGCAAGAATATACACTTATTAAAACATTGGAATGCGTAAATTTCACATCATAATTAACCAAGAAAACGTCTACTGGTGTGTCGTGTTAATCAACAGATAATCTCTATGGCAATGCGAGTATAGCTAAGCGTCTCGTTTTCACAGCGTCTGGTATACTTGTCGTTAAACGATGTCTATTAAACTATCGTCTGGTTTTTCGAGTGAGTGTTACCGTCCTGAATTGGACAAATCGTCCGAGATTTGGAATAGGGAGTTCATGTTTTCGAAAAGTATTTTATTAAAAGAATAGGAATGAGTTTGGGAAAATGTTCGGTTTTGCGTGAAATTCGATTTTTTGGGCATTGAGTACACATAGTATTGTTCTATGTTAATATTTTTTTTTTCGAAAATCGAAATCTGTATAACTCGAACTTTTTATGCCAATCCCATTAGATTCGACTTAGGCGAACTCGACTGTATACACTTATAGTCTCTTGATAAAATTCCAGACTCCTTCCTTGGTAGCCTGGGTTCCAGGCCCTAATTTTAGGTTACTCACTCTTTATTGCACTTAGTGCGCACTATACCTAATTTAATTGGCGTCCCATACTCGATTTCCTTTTTTTCGAATTACAGCTTGGGCAAACGATTCATGCGTACGATTTCCCACATCAAATTCAATGTGGGATATTGTATGCATGACTGATTTTGTAAATCATGTGATTGGCTAACTTCATGCATATTAATCAATCTTGCTAAATTTTCAAAATTGAAGATGCAGATGTCTCGACTAGAACAAGATAACCAGCTCCCTTTTGGCTACCTATACTTGAATTAAAACAGTTAGTATATAGTTCTGGCCTGCTGAGAACGACATGGATTGATAACCGTAGGCTATACTAGGAACCTTGCTCACCGCTAGCTGCTACACAGATTTAGGCCTTTCCTCTGTAAGTAAGAACGCCAAAAAAATACGCCAATCCTCTACTAGTCTAGGCTAGGCCTACTACTCCAGACTCCAGACGAGGCCTGAGCCATCCTCCTGGAAAATTAAAGTTTTGTTGTATTTGTATGGTATGCCATCTAGTCTAAACTTAATTGTTTTTGCCATTGCCAAAATTAGTCTAACTAGGGTCTATTCTAAATATTTTAGGCCCGTTTTATTAGGGAGGACTATTTAAATTTAGTCATCCCTAACTAGTCGATGCGAGTGACTCAGTTTCGTGGCTCCAAAAATATGAACATTTGATTGGTTGAAATTGTTTATTTCGGTCCGCCCATTTATCTAAATACGAAATGTAAGATTACGTCATTCTTTTGGCATCCTGGTGCCTGATTTCAGTGTTTTACAAGTCGCTTATTTCGTCTCTAAATTAACTTTCTCGTTGGTGGCGCTGTCCAGAATGAGAAAAATAATAAAAAATAAGAGACTTGTGGCAAGTCCACTTCCTTGGTTACTGGAATGAAGTTGTTTTTAGTCCTGAAATAACATCATAGTTTTGAATGGATTAGAAACTAAGGAATATTATATTTTATATTTCAGGCAACTTAACAACCAAGCCATAGCTTGTCTTCCAAGCACGTTTTGGCAAAATGTGTTAACTGACCTTAGAGGACTGTACTTGCTCATTTCTCAACTGGTACTGTGCATGAATATTGCACAAATTTAACTTGAGTGTCTGTAATGTGCTTTCATTACGACAAACTCTTCTCACTAACGTTTCGTAATTCCTTTGTAAGATGTCAGCATCTCCTGCCTTAGCTACATACGGGGATAGTGGTTTGGACTTAGCGCTGTTATCGCCTTGACTACAGTCAAAACCAATGTGTTCAAGTTGTCGCACTAAGTTAATCGTTTCTGTCTCAGCTGAATCTAATTTCTCTTGAAGCACCTTGAGTGTTTTTCCATTGGTGACTTTTTGCAATTTTGACGGTGGAATAGCTTCTCGAGGCATTTTTCTGGAATAGAAATACAAATTTAAAGTAAAATACCATTTTGTTGCAGGCAGCTGACACCAGTGTTTTGTAAAAGTACGAATACAACCAGGGGCACTAGTAGTACAGTACCAAACCTGCCAATACGCCACTGCGTAGTTTGAACTGTGCATGCCCATATTAAAGGCCAATCGACATAAAGAAATGTGAAGCACACTACATAGGCTGGCTAGGCTAGGTTTAGTTTAGCTTCGGAGTTGGCATGGCCTTCAGAATTGTCTGAAAATAGTGAGCTATGGTACATAGTTTGAAGAATACTTGCATCATACTAATATTATTGAGGTAAAGAAACATTATGATTATGGCACCTGGAAATGGCACGCTCAGACTTAAATTTGAATGTAATTTTTTTTCTCTTTGCACCACTGAAAATCTTGGATCAACGGAAAAAATGAACACATCATCGATGTGGCGGAGAAATAGCAGCTATCACTTGAAATGAAATCCCTACACAGTTATTGACACATCAGAGGATATTGAATGGCTATGGCTAAAATTACATTTTAATAGAGCACCACATGAAATAGAGATGATGATTGTAGAATTCTTAATTTAAAACCAAGTAAAAATATGTACGCAAATATTTTAAGATCAATGATATATGTTTGCATCTACTGTATATCACAGCCCGGACCAAATTGTATTACTAGATTCATTTGTGGGGATTTTAATGACTGCAAAGTAAACAGGCTGTGCACATACAATAGTTATTGCACCAGGTAGAAAAGAAGCCCACACATCATGAAAAGATATTAGACCTTATAATAATGTTCACTCATTCTACGAGATGGCTACTAAGTACATCCTCCACTTGGTTGGAATGACCACAATGTCATCTGTTGGACGGCAATCAGTTCCAAGTATAGAGGCAAGTTGTTAAATGTTAGACCTCTTTAAGCAACTCTGCAATTTCTGAATTTTGCCATTGGCCTACTTACAAAACAGAATTCGACAGTCAATTTTGAAGAGAAACTGGATGTTTTCTCAACACATGTTAATGTGTAACATTGGTTCTTTCAAATTAAACAAAATAAAGTTTTTTCAAAAGACAAATGAGAAAACTTAAATCACTTTTACAGCTTAAAGACATGAATCCTTCAGCACAAAAAAAAATGCTTAGGAACAATGTACAACTGGAAATAAAACTGATGATGAATACGGACGAGAAACATGTATTTTTTATCATTTGGCCTAAAGAATAAAAGAGGGGGAAATCAAACAAAAACAAGGAAAAGAAAGTTTTAAAAAAATTCATTTGTTTGTTTAGGCCTAGCCTAGTAGGGGCCTAGTTTTTTTCTCTTTTTCTTTGATTTTTTCTAGACACGGCAAGACTTGTTCGATTGGATTTATTCGGTGGAAACACCAAGGATAACCCACGAAAGTCCGAAGAAGACATGTTTTCTAGGCCAGACCTAACCCAGCCCAGCCCTCCAGACTAACTAGGCGCTAGTCCTTGCTGGGTGCAAAACCATCCATTCCGATCGGAGCCGTCGGAAATACGTAATAGTAGGCTAGGCCTAGCCTACTACTAGTACTAGGCTGGCCTAAGTATTCAATTAAACAATACTTTTCTTACCAACCAATGTTCGGATGCTCAATATTTAGTAGGGCAACAAGGTAGGGCCTACTAGGTCTAGCCTAAGCTATTTCAAATCAGATTTTCTTTTTCCACTCCTTGCCTAGACGTAACATAACATGTACGACCAACAGCGCAAAAAATTTTTCAAAATACAGTGGGTATGGTACCGATTAAATTGTTGTTGTTTGTTTGTACCGCCGATGAGTGCGCACTTTAGGATTGCGATAGATTATTACAGCCTCCTTGTTTTAATATCCATGAGTTAAGCTCTTGGCACAATGTCAACTTGATAATTACAAGAAAACACACTAAACTCGAATGGTGGATGATTACTTTCACATATATATATATATATATATATATATATATATATATATATATATATATATATATATATATATATATATATATA